AATCTAGTAATCTCCCGAAGGTTCGAGAAAGAAGTGGCGTGATACTAGTCACGTGACCTCGCTGACGCAACAATATAATCAAGAAGAAAGAGCTATAAAATTAGATTAACGAGACAAAAAAAAGGAAGGAAATGACAGAAGATTATGAAATCAAGTAGAAAATTAGAGGAAAGACAGAGGAATTCCAGGAATGAGACAAAATTATTAGAAGAATTGTAAACTCAGACCAGTTTGATGAAAAACATGATAGAAAATGTGCATACTAAAGTTGAAGAAGCCGCAGGAAATGTACAGAAGGATAATAAAGAAGAATAATAAGGATAATAAAAATAATATAATCAAAAAATTCAGACGGATATCAATGAAACGTAGAACGATTATAACAACAGGTTTCAAGAAGTGCAAGAGGATCATAACAAGATCAACAAAGTACAAAATAACATAAAAGCTAGGAAAAAACATATTGGAAATTAATTCAAAAATGCAAGAACCAAATCATCCACACTTCTCTCTGCAATTATTAAAAATTTCTAACCTCAAATACCATTAACTATGATATACAATATATCAGGCCCGTACGTAAAATGTTTGAAGGGGGGATTCTAATTTGTGAGATCAAAGGCCAATACATACTGTAAGAAGCACAAGCAGCATGCTAATACTACTGGGGGCATATCCCCCAGAAAATTTTAAAAAACGAATAGGTGCTATGAGATCAAATCTGGGAGCAATTTTGCATGTAATTTAGCTTAAACAATTGCATGGCTGTTCACATAAAATCCACAAACATCCAATGTCAACAAATCATCATCCTTTTATAACACTGCATGGGGATATGGGTTTAAATTAGCATATATGTGGATGTGTTATTATTGTACTATCTACATGCCAAAGCCTTTCCTAAAGATTTTTTTCAATTGCACAATTATATTTTAATTTCATCATTTTTTTAAAATAAATGACGCCTTATTGCACCTCATATATACAGGCATAGTAACAAATGATCCAAAAAATGAAGACTATTTTAGTAAATACATTTATTTATAAACTTTAAGATGGAATTTCATAATCTTAAATGTGTTTTTTTTTAATATTTATTCAATTGAACTTACTTATATAGGTGAATTTGCAACTGCACAAATATTTTTATAGGTGCGCAATTTGTGATCAACTGCACATTAGGAAAATTCTTGCTACATGCATAGTGGTTATTAACTATTAAGTTATATCAACTCTGTACAACAATAGTATTGTTGCGTCAGAGAGGTCACGTGACTGGTGTCACGCCACCTATTTTATAGAAATATCCTGTTCCTTCAAGAATGCCCTAGCATTTACTAGATTGGGGGTAGCCTGGTATATATAGGATGGTCACAACGTGACGGAACAACAGTGTAGTAGTGAGTAATTGAACTGAGTATTGTCGAGCACGAGCACGTGAGAATTATAGCGTTTGTTACAGAGCGACTGTTGAAGTTGAGTGTATCGTAAAGTTGTATTCAGAAAGAATAAACCAGTTTTATTTAAGAAAGGACTTGTGTCGCTAAAGTTTCGTCGGAACGAATTTACGGAAAATCAATTAACGAACGGAGACGTAACAGTATATTAGCTATTTCAATCATTGGCTATCATATACGTACATCTGTGCAATACTGAAATAACATGTTAGCATACTCCATTCTTCTGGGATGCTTTTCCATAAATTACATATGGCATCAATGTTGATAGCAGTGTCATATGATTATGTATTAAAGCTAGAGCATTCAGTCTTTCTTCGGTTTGTGTACACCCCAGGTAATAATTCGACTGGCGGAGAGTAGATGTCGAACGTTCACAAGAACATGAAATTAGTGGCAGTGTAGCAAAGAGTTTCAGTAACATATTGATATTTGGTACACTGAAGCACGATTTTTAAAGCAGTCAGCCAGTATCTGGAGCCTGTCCTGGAGAAGTATAGGAAGTCATTTTGTCTTCCATCGATGAACTTCTTCATAAAAAATATGAAGATTTGGCAAATCATCTCTGTACAAATCTATATCCTGTCTGATATCAGAGATAGAAAACCCTTGTGTGAGTTTTGATGGCATAAGTTTCTGAACTGATGCTGCTTGCTTTACATGTGCATCAGATCTGGAGGAAAGATTACTGATAATGTGGTCAAAAAAAGGAATGGTTGCTGTTTTGTTTGTTTGTTTGTTTTTTAAGTAATCTTCCTAGGAACTATATTCTGCATTTGCACGTTGGGCTTTTCGTTGACTAACTTGTGGCATGCTAACATTGATATTAGATTTGTTTGCAATATTAATGCTGTGCTTGAAGATACGATGTAAATAATCATCTATGTTCAATCTTGGTGAAGTCAGTTCTTTACAGCATTGTTCTATTAGGTAAACACCAGAAACAATGTCTTGGCTTGGACCTAGCAAATTTACAGAAGCTTCTTTCAATTAACAGTGGAAACGTTGTAAAGCTGTTAAACAAAAAATGAAATCAAAGGATTACGGTATTTATAGGTAAGCCATAGCATTTTTCTTATCTTCAGCAGCCCAATTGTCATTAAACATTTCAAAATTATCCATTCATACACAATAACCTCACACATATGAAGTAAAAATGGATAACATAAACATAACCTTTCCCAACCTTCAATATTCTCAACCCAGCGTGTAATGCACACATTGAGTAGTTGAAGACGTAATAGAGCTGTTCCATGCTGGATGCCCTTTTGATAGATTGCCTTTGTCAGGTTTTGATATGGGCCGAGATTCTTTACACTTCAGTTACTTTAGAACACCCTTTGACAAGACAAATTATTCTCCCCTACTCTGATATTACAATACAAGGCTGTGATACTCACTTTAAAATCACCACAATAAATGGTTACCACAGTTGTATCTAGAGCTTTAAATAATTTTCTCCTTTTCTTCAGTGTCTACACAGGAAGATTCAATTACTTTAGAACACCCTTTGACAAGACAAATTATTATCTTCTATCTTTGTTAATACAATACAACCTATGAAACTCACTTTAGAAATCGCCCGTTACAGCTAAACTGATACGCAATCTAACTTCACTCTTACTTTCAC